GACATACTGTACATGCTATTGCAAAGAATGATCTGCAGTTCGAACAAGCATTTCCCTTCCCATCTCCTCCCCAGTGTACCAATCGTGTGATGCTTCTACAAGTGTCGTTTGTAGACAGTGAAAAATGCACAGACTCCTAACTCTGACCTAATAGAAGGACAAACTGTTACGCAAATTTCGAGGTGCTTTGAAAGTCTGTTTGATGCGTAGGAGGAAATTAAAATTTGTTGAAAAAGATGAGTAAAAATCCAAGATGAGTAAAAATCCAAGGATTTCTGATCTTTTCTGAGAGTCCTATGTCGGTGTAAGTGCCGTTCATTATAAAGGTATTCGTTTTCGGGTAGTGTGCATATGAAGATTGTTCTTACAATAGTACTATTATCATCGCTGTAGTTATTGCTGGTCCAGTCTCTAAGCTTTGTATTTCTTTTGGTAAGTGTGCTTGTTAGCTTTGTCATTTTCCTATGACTATGTTTATAACACTACAACTACTAGTATATCATAGCACTCAAAAAGTTCATCAATGACCACTGAACTAATTTTAGATTTTAGATTTTAGACAATAATACAAAGCGTTCCAAGCACAATTAGTATGAGGTTTTTAGATATCATAAGATAATATTATATACTTTATTAGTCTACCATTGGACAAACCATGCAGTGTGCTTTCACTTCACTCGCTGTGGGACATAACATACAAAATGCACACACATAACCAACACTATTGCAACATACTAGACCCCCCAGATGTCTACTTCAAAGGCCAGACAATCAAAAGAGAAGAAAAACTGCGCTACCTCAGAATAGCGTTTGACAGGACTTACGAGTGGAAAGGAATACATATCGAAAATCGTCACAAAGGCAAGAAAAGGGCTAAATGCAGTGAAGGTGATGGCGAGAGACAGGATGTCGCAGAGAAATTTGGTCTTGCTCTTTGACTTGCTTGTCTTGTCTCTGGTAGATTATGGTTTTGGTCCGCTGACACTGCCCAAGCCTCAACTGAGAAGGCTGCACGTAATTCAGAACGAAGGAATGAGAGCCATACTCGGTTACACAAAAGATACATCAGTTGCTGCAATGCGATATGTGCTAGGCCTACCCGACATGAATGAAAGACACAGGCTTGCACAGGCCAAAGCTTATCTGAAAGTCTGCACAGATCCACAGAATCTTCTTCATGACAAAGTAGGTCGTCAGACTAACCAAAGACCTAGACGTGGCACGGAGTGGATGATCCAGGCAGTGCAAACAATTGAAGAGTGTGGTCTCACTTTGGGGGCAATCAGACGAGGGGAGACATGGGTACAGCTTGCGGTGGACGAATTGAAAGACAGATTCACTCAGGTGATTGCTACATCAGGGCGTAAATGTCGTGAATGGCATGAAGGAGCAACACATGCGGAAATCCAGACTCTAATTGAAGAGAAGTGTAGAGAGGATAAGACAATTATCTTCACTGATGGCTTTGTTCTGCCTTGGATCAAATCAGGCTGGGCTATCACGGCTTCTTGCAAAGGAGTAAGAGTCCAGGAGGCATCTGGGGCAACGGGCCTCTCTAAATCAAGCAAGTGCATGGAGATCAAGGCCGTCACGGAGGCTTTGAAATGGCTTTGCACTAATGGATACCAGCAGGCTACCTTTGTTACAGACTCATTGAGTACTCTGGATAACATCTTGACCGGCAGCCTTTATGCAGATTGGTTTCAGACAATCCAAGACAGCAAAATCAGCCACTTGCAGTGGATCTGCTTCCCAGGACATGCAGGAATCAAGGGAAATGAAAGAGCAGATAAACTAGCGGGCTCCGCAAACATAAAGGGAGTGCTTACCCTTGACTCTCCAACTGTAGTAGCCCTTGTCCTAGAAAACCTAGCCAGCAGTCGTGACGAGGACTCTTTCACGAAGGAGGTTGCGATTGCGGAAGGAGTGCAGCTTGGTGAAGGTAGAAAGAGCAGGCTGCGTGACCCGATCAGACGCTACTACAACCAGCTGATGATGGAGACAATCAACCTCCCTACACTGGAATGGACGCTCATAAGGAGGGGCTAGGAAGCATGGAGCATTCCGTCTTCCTAAGACCCAAGTTCTAGATTCAAGTAATTCAACTAGACCCCCCTCCTTCCCCCCCCCCTCTCTCTCTCTCTCTCTCTCTCTCTCTCTCTCTCTCTCTCTCTCTCTCTCTCTTTCCTTCTCGCTTTTTCTCTTGATCCATATTTCCTTTTCTCTCTCTTTCTCTATCTCTCTCTCCCTTTCTATCCGTTAGGAAAAACACGGGGAATAATCATGAAATAAGGCGTGAGTGTGAGAGTGAAAACAACTTCTAAGATCGTACCACACATTATGCTGCACACTCAGATTACTTGCTTTGTGGTCTACACAAAAATCAACAAGACTGTTCAGAAACAGAGCTGTATTGTCAAATACAAAAGTGAATCACATGGTTCTGTCAGTGAAAGGAGAGATGGATAAAAAGAGTCAAACGGCTGTCGAATCGAAAGAAAAAACAGCGGTGATCGTAAAATACTTTTGGAAGTTACATGTCGTGTGGCATTCTACAACGGAGTATTGATGTCAAACGGGGATTCGTTTTGTCAAAGACAGCCCAAAATTTGCAAGAAGAGGAGTCCTCCATTCTGCACATGCCTTGCTCAACTGCCAAAAATACCCAAATCTCGATTGTCTTGATTGTTTAGTCATTTGAAACAAGAGTAGCTTGGGAGCACAGCGATACTAAACCTGATAGGGTTATTCTTGGGCACACTAGCTGTCACGGTCCAGTTATGAGCTAATCTGAAGAAAACGCGCCAACTTTTGAGAAGGGTACCCTCTGGAAAAAGCCTGTACATGAGATTTCTAGACTTTTTTTTAGAATGAAACACCAAGCGTTAATGATTCTTTAGATATTCAGATACCCAAAAATGGAGAAAGTTAAAAATCGATTTTTTAACCCAAACATCGGGTTTTGCAGACCCGTAACATGCCCTTGTCCTGAAAGCAAAATTGGTCGGCCACGTACCGTAGCTGTGAAAGCTTTTAAGAAGTGCAATGTTGTATTTTACCCTATTTTGGTTTACATTTTTAAAAGCTTGATATTTCTCTAAGGCTTCGATGCATTTTCTTAGCACTGATTAATTTGGTGACCTCTTGGATGACATTTTGTATATTCGAATTTTTGTTAAAATTAGTATACTGTTGACCAAGCCAATGGCCTTTAAGTGGGTCCTCTTTTTTAAGCTCCCTGCATAATTTTGGACGAGTGCTTGGTGTCACCACGATGCCGTTCAAATACCTTCCTATGTTGGCAAAACTTAAATATCAATTTTATACGCCCCGTGGGAATAATGGTCTGATGATTTTGTAAAGAGTATACTTAACTAAAAGTGTGAATACACAAATAGGAAAAAGAAAAGGAGACGGCAAAATTTACTCTCTGTATTCATGTGTCTGTTTTAATCCTCCCTTTTGCGGCCAGGAGCCGGTACCATACAGATGACACGCGTGATTATAGGGTAGTAAAAGGTCGAGGGGTAAAACCCTATGAACTCACAGAAATAATGTGATTTGTAGAACATAGGTAACCCTTCAATTTTTTTAGGTAACCTCTATCAGTCTTATTGTTAGTGTACTTAATCTGTGATTGTGGTTGCTTTTGAAAGTGGTCCGAAATGAGCGAGCAGTGTCTTTTGCGATGATGAAACAGAGTCAAGTGTTGTGAACACTGCTCATTGGTAATTTCATGAACTTCTGTTCAACACATGTTATATCCGGGCCTATGTCAATGGGTGCATTTGACTGCAACAATGTCCCAAAGATGCCCCTCCCCTGCACCTGTCTATTCTCCGTCATCGCACACAGTAATTAGAGAGCCAGATCGGTTAAAGCCTTATTTTTGTCTTGGGTTCAACAGTTATGCAAATATCTCGTATGAGCACGTTAGGTTGTCGGTATGTTACGCAACCACGTGGATATTCTGGCCAATCAAAAATATTAGAGCTAGCAACGTCAGAGTGTTCGGTTTGTGTCAAAAGGTATATAATGCATGAAAGTAAAGTAACAGAAATTCTGTTACTGTAATTTATTCATATGCAACCTGCTGATTCCTGATACCGGTGAAAAGCATTACCTGAAGAATAAACAGCACATATGAATCTAACACTGTCAGGTGCCAAGGTAAGTTTTTCTTGGTGTACAACAGGACTTAAAATTCCAACTGTAATTCTAGAAAAGCTTTGAGAAATTTAGGTTGGTTATAGCAAGTTCTTTTTGCTCAAGGGACAATAGGGAGAACGGAAACTAGGTTGGCTTGGGACGATCAGTATGTGAGTTTTTGAAAATAGAAATATTCATGATGATGATGATGATGATGATGATGATGATGATGATGATGATGATGATGATGATGATGATGATGATGATGATGATGATAATGATGATGACCATGATTATCATGGCGATGCATTTGCAAAGATAATTCACTTTTCATTTTAGATTTCTAAAGTATAACGTATTAGTGCATTTTGTTGCTTCTCAACAGTGATGGTAATTAAAATGTTAACGCGTTTGAAAAAAGAGTAAGAATATGTGCTGTGCAACGGGGAGCCCCAGACGTTTAATAATAAACCGTAAGGTCGTGGGTTCGAATCCCGTCAGGGGCCCGACGTTGGGTCCTTGGGAAAGGCACTTTACACGAATTTTCCTCACTTCACCCAGGTGGAAATGGGTACCCAGCTATAGACAGTGAAAGATCTTGTCAGTTTGATAGTATTTGAGCGCATGAAATCCGCAGCTTGCACTGTATGCTTCCCGGGAAGCTGAGAATGTTTCGGAGTGTTCTATGGTCTGCTGGGGTAATAATATAGTGTAAAGCGCATAGAGCCTGCTGTTGAGCGGGGATATGCGCTATACAAATGCTATCTATTATTATTATTATTATTATTATTAAGAGTTGTGAGAGATCCCGTAAACTCAACGAATCTGCATTTTTGAAACAGATACCCACCATGTCTACTTCTAATGAGACGATTGAGGTCGCACGGAAGCACTTGGCTGTGGCGTACAAAAACGGGGGTCATCCTGAGAAGACGGCAACTTTCTACTCCGATTGGAGTAAAGACGATGGTTATGATCAGGTAATAGTCTTGCTCAGTTGATTATGCTTGACTACAAAGCAATTGACCTAAATCGAATCCCCAGCAATATATTATGAACTTAAGGTATTTTGGGGAATTTATATTTTCCTTTCTAACTCTTTTTACCTGGCCCTATAGGACGTGAATGATACACCCTGAGGTTCAGCCTCTTTGAAAAAAATTACAATGTTGAAACGGGGTTATAGGGTAGGGGGTTGTCAAACCATTACATTTTTTCAACTTATGATGTAACTAGTTAGCGTAGTAAATTTACATAATAAAGAACCCAGAAAATGATAATCTTTTAGAAAGTTCAACTGAAAGCTCAAATATTCCTATAGTATTTCTCTGTTTCAATACTCTTTATTACATTTCTTTGTAAAAGAAACCACCACCACCCCCTCTCCCCCCAACCTCTAGGGATCGCCTCGGCTTTTTTTCTTCTTTTTTTCTCTTTTTGGTAAAAGCCACATACCATCTTTGTATTTTTCGGTTTTCAGGAGAAACGGTACTAACTGCAAATGTTCAAGGGATGACAAAAGTATTGATGATAGTATTTTGTGTAATATTTTGGACCTACGTTCCGTTCAGTGTATCTGCAATATACTTTAGCTGTCCAAGGTTAGAGTTCAACGAGATTCGCTAGTAAAAGCCGTATTCGCCATAAGAACTTGGGACTAAGAGTCAAATTTTACAGCTCATTTTCCCTAATTTTTTTTTTTTTTTTTTTTTTTTTGGGGGGGGGTTGGTTTCCTGAACTGGCAGTCTTCTCACCCAACTTAAACAGCCATGTCACCTCTTCAATCCTTCAGTTAGTTGCATTTGAGGGCTATATCTTTATTAGTTGGAGGGATGCTTTCTAAAAAAGCAAACGACTTGTCTTGTTCCAATGTCCTGTTCGGAGAAGAGACTCTATATATTTTAAAAAATGCAAATAGCTGCAGTTGACTCCACAGGAAAAATCTGACGAATTATATCGTAACCTCGCCCGTAAATTTGAACGTCAACAGCAGTATCATTGTATGCAACAAATGCTAACGTTCTTTAGATACGCAAAATTGAGTCCTGCTTTCGATTCAGAAAAATTGTTCTAACGTTAAAAGCAACCATTGTTTTGAGTCACGAGATCACTTCATTATCTCTACTACAACAAAAATATTTTTTATTTGACAAATTAATTTTCACGCAAACGCCCACCTGATGCCAGTATGCTTTGCACTTTTCTGTAACCAAAGTGTTCTCTTTTTATCTTGAATCGTGCGGGTAACCACACATTAGCATGTTACACGTACGAGTATGATGATTAAAATTAATGGGTCCGAACTGACGGTGAAGCACCCATTGCCATTTCCGATTGGCGGAGTGCCTGTGGGGTAGCGTTATAGACACATTGTCAGTTTAGGGATAGGTGGAAGAAAGCGAACTATTTGTGTGGGGGGTTTTTTCACTTAAAAAAGTAAATGTTAAAATGAATGTTTAGGTTACGATATACGAGAGAGGTTGTACTTATGAATAACAGAACCAAATGTAGAAAATAAGGACAGTATCCACACCGCGGCCCACTGAATTAACAGCAAATTAAGCAAAACCAACGAAGTAACCAAACAAACAAATAGACAAATAAACAAACAACTTCCCTTAAAAATACCCATGAAAAATATCAGGCACATTCAATATTTGACAATTATGCGCTAATATGTTATTTCATGTGGCTCATTTGTTGCCTTCTTCTTCGTCATAAAAGACCGATAAGCTACTGTTGCATATCGTTAAGTTACGGTGACGAAAACAATCTAAACTTTGCAACAACAACCCCCCCACCCCCCCAAAAAAAAAACAAACAACAACAACAAAACAACCCCAACAACAACAACAAACCAACAGAAACTATAACAATCCTGAACAAATTGATTATTTACGTTTTAAAAACCACAGATTTGTATAGGCAGTATAGTTGTCTATTAATTTTATGGTATTTTATTGTAGTTCTCCATCTTTTGGAAAGTCAGAAAAGCGGCTGGGCAAAAAACAACCTAAACTTTACGAGAATATGTAAATGAACGAATGGAAAGAACGGCTTGAAGGATTCGACGTACATGATTATTTACTTTTTGGAAAGGCACATTCTTAGATCGGAATTAAACCTCTTGCATGTCAACATTTTCAGTTCTACTCATAAAACAGAAGAAAATCGTTCTCCAACAGAAGAATAATAATAAACTTAAAAGAAGGAGTACTAAGTGAAATTGATTGTAAGAGCAAGATGATGTCAAAACTTTCAAAGGGTGAAAATATTATGTCAGTAATAAACAACTATTAACGTATGTATTGACCTTATTCTAGTGAACGTCACAAGGAAAATAGACGTCAAATCGTCTGCTATAAATAACTCCAAACAAGTTGACCTAATCTCAAGTTTTGGTTTCTCACTCAAAACAAAATTTTAATTTGCTGTTGCATGAGAGGAATTTGAAGAGCCATTTTTTTACTGATTAAAATTTGATTGTATCAAATCTACTTGATAAACTCATGTATCCGTCATCATTTATGATGTACATGTAAAAAAAATTAACTTTTCTTGAAATAAATATAAATCCTGAGGTACTCAAAACGTTATATTACATACTTCAAAATCGTCTACAACAAGCAGTGGTATTATACCAGCCTTCTTGCTAATTTCCTACATTCAAATTAACACTTCAGATAGGCATTAATATCTATTGAAAAGTTTTGATTTGGTTTCCTCAGCACCTGAACCCAGACTTATACCGTGGCCCAAAGATAGCTGCCCAGGCTGTTGCCGATTTCTTTCCCTCTTCAAAACCTGCAGACATTCGCATTTTGGATGTTGCTGCTGGCACGGGTTTTGTTGCTGAGCATGTGAGTGGTGCTGACAATGACGATGATAATACAGTTAATAGCAAAAATAGATAACATTATTAATCGAACAACTTATTGTTGTGCACCACATTCACAAACATTAAAAAACAAACATTGCAACACTAAACGATAAAAATATTCTCATACTTTCATTAGGCCCTACATACAATACCATACGTAACGTTACACAATAAGCGAACATAAAAAAACAAAGGTAAACGGACATATGTTGCTAATTCGGAAATTCAATAACCGACACTTACATCTGAAATCAGATTATATCTATTACTTGCTTTAGTTTTATTATTTTAAAAAAGCCTTCTTTCATCTCCAGCTAAGGGACCTTGGGTTTAAGCATATCGATGCCCTGGATCCCAGTGAAGGAATGCTTGAAAAAGCTCGCCAGAAGAGATTGTACGATCACTTCATCTGCACCTACCTAGATAGTAACAAGAAGTTACCTATTCTTGAAGGTGAGACGTTCCATTATAGCTGCAGTTAAATAGTATTCTACATCATATCATGCTAGAGAGTTGGGCTTTATAGTTGGTGGTGGTCTTAAAAGCTCACAATAATTGTTCCTTTACATGACACTCCTATTTCACTTATCTCTTAAGGATGTTGTAGACAAAGTGTTCTGTCAAACCTGTCTCAAACTTTGTGATTGGATGAAAAAAATGCGGCACTGAAACCTAAATCTTAAACGAAATCGGAAGGCAGACATCGCACAAATATTGCTCAGCTGTCTCAGTGTCCAAAAGTGTTGACATCTCAACATCAACAAGCACCCCGCCGCCCACTGGTGCATAACAACACACTGATCTGGGCCAGCGGCGTCGTACTCGAAACGGCAGATTACTCATGAGTCGCTGATGCTGCTCACTTTGTTTTGTTTGGTTTTAGTTAATATGTTGTAACTTAGATCTGACTGGGATAAAACATTCCAGTTGTACCATATCATTTATATTTGACCTCCACTGTGTTGAAAAAGTGTTGGCTATGTCGGGACGTGTTGGATGAAAAATCATAGAAGCATTAAACCTTTGCTGCTCTGATGCGAGTCTTTGTCGCTGTGAGTTGCTTGGTATTTATCTAACTGTGGGTCCTACCCAGGTGCCTACAATAATAACTTTAGCCCTATGGTTTATTACTTTACGAATATGCAGAGTTTTTCGTAAAACTGTCCACGTTATTTATCGGAGTTAGAATCGTTGCATGCTGCATACTCCTGGTGATATTGTTGACATCTTCACTGTTTTAGTTTTTTGGAATACGTAATTGCCATCTGCTACCGCATCGTTTCAGTTTTCCATATCTCCACGAAGTCAACTATTGTGGTTTTTTGCTTCCAATGAGTAAACAGTGTATGTTCCTGTTCCTGGTGGCTTTTTTTTCAGCTCATAGTAGTTTAACATGTCCATTCGGTCTTCAGTTTTAGTCTGTCCGTTTATTTAGTCCATTTCTTTGATTTTTGGCAGTAATTAACCCTTCACAGGTTTGCTACGCCCGTTGTAACTTCACTACAACCTTGTTAACCGGAATGTTTTTGGGGTGACCCGGGTTGGTCTTCTCGGCTTACTTAGCTCTCAGCAGATTTTAAATGCCACGCTTTACATCGCCCAAACCCAGTGACACTCTGCTTTGATCTGAAAGCATCTTTCAGGACTGGGTCCAGGGGTTAGTCTTTCATTGAGTAGCAATTAATTTTCGCTTTTTAAAATACTATTCTGCTCTGTTTCTAAACTTCATCGGTTTTTAAAAAATTGTATCCCTCACTATGTCAGATACTTACGACTGTGCTGTGACATCCGGAGGTATGGGCGAAGGACACATTCCTTACAATAGTCTGGATCAGCTCATCAGGGTTGTGAAGCCAGGTAAGCGTTTGGCACCTTTTTGAATTAATGAACATTATCTGAGTCCTGGGGTCGCGTTATTGATTAGTAAAATGAGCTTATTAACAAAATATACTAAGTATTCTGTATTTTTCGCTGCTGTACTTCAAACTCATTTTAACATAAAGATAATAGTTTGGACGGCCCGAAGGTATTATTAATTCCCATGTATGCATGAATCAGCCCAGAGACAAAAAGACAAAATATAATCCCTGCACAATTACTGATAGTATGGCTATCTTCATGGTAATTTTGATTTCAATGAGGCGTGGTTTTCTTTGAATTGAGTTTATATAGGGTTCCCTATGTCAGAGAGATTTTTTTTGTGTCATGTCGTTGGTATTACATTTTTCTGACTTGTGGTGGGTTTGGAAGGCGGGGGAGGGGGCATGTTGCTAATTCTTCCTGGTGCAATAGATTCCTATGAAGTACCGATGCTAGTTTGTAATATGAAGTGTATGGAAAATATTATGGAAGTCAAGTTTGGTTTGCACGCTCTATAGACAAGCGTCTAGGGTGTGGCGAATAAGCGTTTCGGTGTCGCACCCAGCAGATTCGAGGTCAATTTCCGAATGGGAAGAACATTTTGACAAAATATCTTGGTCTTTCTGATAGGATGGTGTATCCTCAACAGCCTGGATTAATTGACCCTGATAGGAAGGGTAGGAAGCCTGCCTCCTTAATTATCAAAATGTTGTCGAGGATGGCATAACAAACATCAACATAAACATATACTCCACAGGCGGACTCGTGTGTATAGTGATGAGAGAAGAGTACCTGAACCACAGCCAGTACAAGGACCTTCTGGAGCCGCACATGTCTCGTCTGGAGAAAGAAGGATATTGGCAGCTGGTGTCTAGGACGGTGGAGGAAGAATACTGCTTTGACCTCAGTGGCCTTGTCTACAATTTCAAAGTTCTCCCCAGGCAGATAAAAAAGGAATAAAACATTTTATTTTTGCTGAAATGTACAGATATATCCCCTTTACGTAAAACCAAGTGAGATGACGTTGATCAAATAAATAAACCAAGCAATAAAACGTAACAACCAAGAAAAGGGAAACGCAACACAGTGTTTCAATCGAAAATGTCAACAAAAAACAACAACGTCAACACAATTTTCATTTTCTAAATGCAACCTAAGACAAATCTTTAATTTAAAAAAAATTCTCACAACGTCTTTTCACTTTTTAAAAAACTATTTAGTATTTTTACATTATAATTTATCAATTAAGTGTCAAATCATTTTTTTGTCGTCAATCCTAAATGTTTAAAAATATTTTGCAATGTCAAATCCGCAAGATTAATAATTGCTCGATTTTACTATCTTACCTCTACCGCCGAGTGTGAATTTAAGCCTTGCATAATGTTTCAAGGTGTATGATGGGACTTTAAAAAAAAACC